GTCAGGGTTGCAAATCGACATATCCGAAACATTCCGAAACCCATGACCCCGAACCATGGCTTTTGAGCGGGCATTTCTGTTGACTATCGAGCCCCTCGGTCCCTTTGGTGGTGCGGAGCGACGCTTCGGTTCTGTCGGAGCCGGACGAAGTCAAAGGGAGGTTGGTGCGGCCAGCTGGACTCCCCCCAGGCGAGTGGATGTGAGAGGGGCACCCCCTCCTCCAATATGGAACTTGCTGGTTAATGTGTCCACGGCTTGGGACCAAAGGCTTCCTTTTGCAAATGGTTTCCTCCAATTTGGAGACGTTGGTGCGGCTTGACTTTGCAGGTTTCGGGATCCTTGCTTCAGTGCTTTTGTGGCCGATTTCTTCCAGAGAAACTGGTCCAACTATACAAACTGAACATTCAGAAGCCTCTTGGCATGACACTTTTAGTTGGATTTTATAGGGTAGTGACACAGCTCATGTTTCTGCCAAGAAAACCTCTAACAAGAACACCCATCCATCACGGGTACCCTGGAAAGGACAGAGCTTCTTCATTAGTTCTTCCAGTTTGGCCAGTTCCAGCATCAGGATGCTATGTACGAACGGGGCTCCTGGCCCTACGAGGTAGGAGCGATCGGACGCTAGGGGCCCAGGGGCTCCTGGCGATCCATGAACACCACCGTCCCGACCGCTCGAATCAGGCCCAGTAGCATCAATGGATCCTTCTCCTTGTGCGGTGGCCTTGGTCAATGGTCGACGTGGAGCTCCATCGAACGGAGGTCCAAAACGGTGACCCGTTACGCTTGATGAATGCAGCATCATGCAGCCACATGAACCAGAATTTCTCGTCCATGCTTTGGCTACAACAGCTTGACAGAAAAAGACGTTCCGCTTCGCAAAGACCGTCGGGCTTCTCCGAGCATAGGCACATGCATATAGATGGAAGACTAGATCCCCCTTTAAGCACCAGAAGTCACGTCGCCCATGGTTCTTTTAAATCCGTTTCTGCAGTCGGACCGTCGGCCCATAGGCCCGTCGCAGATATTACAAGATATAACAGAGTGCAACACCTGTATGATCCATCTCTCCTGGGTGTTTTCTTCGTTTCTCTACACCTTTTGCCGCCGACTGAGCCGCTCCGACGTCAAAGGGTCGGATTCCTGGACGGTGGGCCTCAGTGGACGGATAAGGCGAACGAACCGACAGCGGCGGACTGAAGGTGTTCGACTTGGGCATGGAGAGTCGGTGGAAATGCGGGATGCGTTGATGCGTGATGCTGAGTTGGCACTGGAAGCGATAGGCGTGTGTGTTGCGGGCTGGCGTGCGACGAAGTGGGGTTCGTGCATTGGGGCACCGAAAGAATTTCTTGGGTCCAGGTGCCGGGTGGACAGCGTGCTAGCCTAGGGGTCTGGTTGGGTGACACCCAGCGCCAATCCCCAAGTCCAATGTAGTTGACGAAGCTCCTTGAAGGCGATGGAAGCTATTCATGCTGATTTTTCCAACAGCACTCCACTGCTTTTCAAGGGGTTTTGGAAGGGTTTCTTCTTTCTGTCCTTCAAATCACTCCCAAAAAAACACACACACTCCTACATCGGCCTACGGCCTCACCCGAGAACGTTTCACGTTTCAAACCACTCGTCGGCCGCCAAGCATGCCAACGCGTGCCTTCTCTTGACTTGCCTTCGCTGGTTCCGTTCAAATCGATCTGTGGAGTTTTGGTGAGTTTTTTGTATGTCAACCGGCCAACACCAAGGATGTCCCTTCGTCCCTACCCTGAGACCGTCCAGTCGGCGATCGAATCTGACGTAACGGGACCGGATCCTTTGGGAGCCTCGGTCGGCTACTTCAGTCGGTCCAAATATCTTCGAGCTAGACTTCTAGGGTCGACATTCTCGTCCTAGGCTGGTGGCCATCGCTAGTAGGTTGGAGGCCATTCTCGTCCTTTCCCTTTCTCTTCCAGCGGGAGATAGGCTCCGGGCAGGGGTCGATCCTCTGACCTCATTCTGCCCGAGACGCAAGGGGACCCCATATCATACTCCTCTTAAAACATGTACCCAAGTGGAATCCCTGTAGGTGAGGAACAGTACACAAAGTCCTCCCAAAATTTGCGAGAATCCAAGTGGATACCTCCCTTTTTGGAGTCCTGATATGGGAGTCTCTGCACCAGATCTGGCGTTGATCAAGGTCCCCGGAAGAAACGGGCGGAAGACCAAACGAGCGTTTTCCTTTCGTGACGGATCACGGGGCACGAACAGCTGGGTGTTTTCCGCTTGGACCAGCTGGACCATGCTGGACCATGGACTGCAGGACGTGATGTTCAAGTCGCTCGCGGACCTCGCCAGGGGTTTCGGTATCTCTCCAGTCCTCAACCGCTCTCCAAATTTGCGAAAGTACCCTCAGCTGAGCTCGAGCAATGGAGTTTTAAGAGCCCTTCTACCGCTACAGATTCATGGTTGATGGTGAGATCTAAATCTACAGTGGTTTCAAGAGTAGATGGCACTGGCACCCCTACATGTCTTAGACAACCATATGAACCACCAAACTTGGGGATTGTGCCATCTACTCTGAGACTACTGTACTCCAACTCAGTATCATCCAATCCAATGCTCCTCACTGAGAGAGTCAAAGCTGAAGCGCATCGTGCCCTCCCAGAAATTCCAACAGGTCTGTGTGAAGGGCACATCAACTAAGTAACCAAAAACACTTGTAGTTGAGGGCTTGCTTACCTCTTTCCCAGCGGAATTGCCTGGCCTTTTTGAAGCTCCAAAGGCGCCCACTGGAGACGTCCCTCTGGTCAACGCTTGCTGTCTTGCATCGCAAGAAGCGCGTCCAGGATTCGGAGCGAAAGACGCAAAGCGGCACCGTGCGGCCACGCAACCATTGTGACCCGGCTGGTGCGCCAGTGAACATCAAGTGGGGCGCCCATTCCATGCAGCGACGTGCAACGACTCCAGGCGACCAACTTCGATCCCCCAAGTTCCAAATGATCTCAGAGGCCGGATCTCAGAGGGCGGCTACTGGTATCCTCTCTCCCTCCCCCTCCAAGCGAAAAAAACGGACCCCATGTGCTGCTTCTCAAGTTGACCCGCAGGTGTCCATCGATATTTTGGGTTGTAGTTACTAGTGGTAATGCCCTTGTTGCTAGAAGCGATGCAGCACTCTCCCGAAGCATTCAACCCCGAGCATGTTCTAGGTTTACACCACAACCGCCGGTAGCAGGGCAAATAAAGGCTTGTGGACAGGTCATTGAACATTGGCCCATGTGTTGGCGAAAGCACATTCTTAGAGTCTCTCTCCAGAAAGCCGGGCCGAAAATAACTAAACAGGTACCAAACATATATACATTTTTTCACCTCTTTTCCCTAGGAAGCCGGGAATTGGGGGAAGTCATGACCCAAATCAAGTTCGCCCCGCAGCTCAATGGCGCGCACGGGGCACGGGGCGCTAGCTCGGAGCGAGCGAAAACTGGGCGCAAGCTCTTCGGCGTGGCCATTGGACGGTATGGCCCATGGCAGGAAGGCGTGGCCCATGAAGACGTCTTCCAAGCCACAAGGTGTCTTCATCTGATTTTGACGCACCATCTCGTCTGTTGCAAAATGTCTGTATCCTTCAAGCATGTCTGTTGGAAAACACGGCCTTTCAAAGGGATTCTCAGGGTGGGTGCAAAGGAACCCCTTTGGGTGGAAAGCGTTGTTTGTGTCTCTGAGCGGTGGATGCCGCTGGCTTGGTTCTTTTTTTGAAGCCCATGATCCAATGGCGCCGGAGCTGGCCGCGCCGGAACCTTGGTTCATCCAGGTTCTTAAAACCAAGGCCTCCAAGGCACTGCGAAACAACAGCATTCAGCTGTCACAACACCTTTTGGTTGCAACTGCTTCACTCGCTGCTGACCAAATCATCCTGAGTCAGCAGCCGATGCAAGGAAACATCATTCCGGTCCAAAGATTGGAGGCAAGTCCCACACAAAAGCACCAAGAATTTGGAACACATGCCTTTGGTGAGCATCACGAACGGAGCAGGGTTTAGTTCACCTGACTCTCTCTCTCTCTCCCTCCCTCTCTCTCTCTCTGCATTTCCCCTTTTGCAAGAGTTGAGCGAGTGCTCACTCGCGGTGAGCCATGGATCGCGCCCATTTCCCGAAGGGATCGCCCCAATTGATGTGGTTTTCGTTCCGGTCACAGGCTCTGCTCTTTCCGCTCCTCTCCACTCTCAGCGCCCCGGCTATGCTCTGTCGCGGGACGCATGGCGGAACGGGAGGCATGGCCTGGTGGAACAGCTCCACCGAGCGGGTCTTTCCTCACTGACCAACTGGCCTTTCCAGTGGAGCCTGCCTTATTATTGGCTTATGAAAAGCTTGGGCCTCGTCACAAGAGGTGGAACCGATTCCCTCCAAACGTTTTTTTCAAGCCAATTTCGGAAAGGCACCCTCCCACCGAAGGCGAACCAAACATGTGGTACAACTCAGTGTTGGAATGTCTGGGCCCCATGGCCAAGTCCACGAAGTACTGTACCTCAAAGATCCCCCCCCAAGGGCCCAAGGGTTCTATTCTTTGGCACCTTCAAGATCGTGACAAGCAAAGCATGGCCGGCTCTGCATGTATCAGCCATGTATTGTAACAGGCCTGACATCTACGGACGTCAACGGCTTCGACGTTTCAAAACCCCTGGTGACCAACTGGTCATGCCACAGGCTTCTATCTGGTCTACAGGCTTCAGCCCTGATCTTGGCAATCGAATGCACCAGGGAACTTGGGCAGCAGGCTTCAGCGAATGGCAAAACAACGCTGAAAGGATGAAACCATATGAAGCACGCCAGCAACCAACACAGTAGCCCTCGTTGCCCCAACATGCTCCGCGCTATCTTCGAATCAATCAAACAACATGCTCGTGGCCATGGCCTTACGCACACGGACGGAGCGATCGGACGCAAACGTCCATGGTGTCCTTTCAACGGAAGATCCAAACACATCCACCGACCCGAGTCCCTGCCGCCTCCGCCACCAGCGGCCCTCTATGCAACTCAGGATTCGCACCTGGCAGCGGTGCGCAGAACGAAGGCCAAGAGAGATGAGAGGTGAGAGAGAATGAGACCAAACGAACTGGGGCGGGTGAGGAAAGCCAGGTTAGGGGTGGAGGAAACTGAACTGCAAGGGCTAGTTTCAGCACCTCCAACAGGTCACCAATTGAAACCTGTTAGGGGCTAACAACCCTCCAAAGACCTGTTCGAAGGTGCTGGTAGGTATATAGCCGCTAGATTGGTTTCTGAGTTTGCTGACCGGAATGCCTCAAAGCTAGGGAAGATGCTAGGTCCTAGGTTCTTCCTGGAACAACGACTTGAAACCTTTTATACAGTAACAAGAAGCTAGTAGAAACAAGTGCATCGCTACTAGGAAACCTTTGATACGTCATCAAGTCCTTTCACCCATGTTCCCCAGGCCGCTCGTCTCCAACTCAGCGATCCGACTAGGGGCTCCTGGCGGAGCAAGGGCATCGCTACTTCGCTCGCGCTCGATCGCTCCGTTCGCAGCCAGCCCCGTTCCGGGTCGCGTCCGCGAACATCGCCGGGGCCACTTGACGCCCACGATCTTGGTCCCCGACATCCTCAGGGCCGCGGGCCGAGAGCGGCGGCGGTGTGAGCCGTCGTCTTTGGGGGATCTTGATGGATTTTGTATCGATTGGAAAGGGAGTCCAACTGGAAACGGTGACGATTTCTGTGAAATCTCTTGGGACATCTGATGATTCTGAGGTCTGTGTGTGGGGAAACAAGGCCCTTTGAGAAGAAAGTGCACCTTCTTCTTTTCCAAACGATGCGGCTCCCTCAACTCCGCCCTATGAAAAAACTGGAGGCTTACCGCATGTTCAAATAGCCGGTGAATTAATTACACCTTCATGAACCAGCAGCAGAATTTCTAGAAAAGGCAACAACATGGAGAATGATCATGAACAATCGTGCAAACTAGGAGTCGATCAACTTGCCAAGGCGCATTGTCATGGTCTCGGCCAGGGTGGGATGAATGCCAACCACAGAATCCAACTGTTCCTGTTCTGCGCACCGAAACGCGGGTTGATGAGGTCATTGAAGATCTGTCAGTCGCTAAGTACCAAATCTAGACGGTTTTCCTGCTGATTCTGCAGAAGAATCGCATGAGTACACCCCCAAGAAGATCATTTCCTTGCAACAACAACCGACTCCAGCCGGCTCTTTCGGTGACTGCTTTGGTGATCATACTTCGACGGTGGATGGTGTCCAGGATCGAATGTTTGGTGAAAGACGGTGGATGGACTCCGCCGTCTTCGAACACGGGACCCCGTATACTCCAAGTGGAAGTAAGGCACTTGTTCCTAGTAGCGTGGCACTTGTTTCTAATAGCTTCTTGTTACTACTAGTATCAACCTCTTCCGCGTTTGAGGTTGATATACTGGGCGTTGGTCAAAACCTTTGCGATCTCGTGTGTCAGCTCAGCTCATTCGCTAGCCACCCTCGCTCGCTCTGCATCTTCTACCCGCTTGACTTGGCTATTACTGCAACCAAAGACATCAATGATCACCACCAAACTGTGCAAGACTCTGCGTCCAAAGGCCACCGCCCTTCATCCTTCCAGTCTACTGTGAAGATCGGTCCAAGATGAGAGGTCCTTCACCTCAACGTCCAGATGACCACTCCTTCCCCGCGGCCTTCTTCACTTAGTAACAAGAAGCTAGTAGAAACAAGTGCCTTACTAGTAGTAACAAGAATGCTATTAGAAGTAAAACTAAAATAGATTAATAGCTTTTTGTTACTACTAGTAAGGCACTTGTTACTACTAGTAAGGCACTTGTTTCTACTAGCTTCTTGTTACTACTTCAGAACTTCACCTCAACGTCCAGATGACCACGCCCTCCCCGCGGCCTTCTTCACACCCATCTTCATGGCCACTGCCATAGCCTGTGTGATCTCTCCTGCGCCGAGCCCAAACGATGTCTCTCGGCCGTGAGAGATGGCGCAGTCCAGGGGCTATAGAGGGGCACCGCTCTGCGACTCAGTCACATGGAAGTGGAGTTCATCACCTCGGTCTTCGGATAAAATGGTCATCCAAGAGGCCATGCTATCCACGTTGGCCCATGATTCTTTTGGGGGGGTGTCTCATAGTGCATCTCTTAATACACACTCTCCGAAGAGAACGACGAGAAACGCCTTCAAAGCCCTCGAACGCATCCGGCTGGGCTAGGCGAACGCATGGCAGACGGGTAGCTAGCGAAGCCCACCCCACCCCACGGGCCGCCCACGTACGCGTCCCCAGGTCCGGAACAGGTCCGACGCGGCGGCTCGGCACGCCAAGCGTCTCCTGCTTGAGGTCCCAAGACATGGAAGCCCACGATCTTCCCAGCTGGGCGGTCGCTTCGTGACGTGCGCCGCAGGGGCCCATGCACACGTGCAGAAGTTCCAGTCTTAGGTTTTTCTTGCTACTCCACAGGTCCAATGGTGGCTAACCGAGTGTTAGCCAGGGCTATTGGCATCTATATAGAGTGAGCCCTTGTGAGGAGAAAAACCTCATGGCCTCACGGCCTGAGTCATTCCCTTTCGCCCAGGAAGGACCTCTGAGCCCGCCACTGTTGTTGTCCACCAGGATCTTAAAAAATGCATCCTCAAATGGCTGGGCAGTCCAAATCGGCATGCTTCACGCACCAGTTCCGAACGGCCGAGTTCAATCCTTCGCACGGTTCGGTGGAGTTCCATCGGCCCTTCGCACCCAGCTGCGAGGCCCGGTCAATCAAGCCGAGTTGGTTCGGGCGCATGGCTGCTGAGGCTCCTCACCAGTGCTTCGTGGTCCTTCTGTGTTTTGGAGAAATATCGGAGATGAATGGCTTCAGCTGAAGGTGAGAAAAAAAGGGTACTAGGAACAAGAAGCTACTAGTAACAAGTGCCTTACTAGTAGTAACAAGACGCTACGAACGGGGCTCCTGGCCTTACTAGGAGCAAGAAGACTTCTTGAGTGCTTTCGCTCCCTGGGGGCGTCTACCTGGTGTCGATCCACACGGCGACGGAGCGGTCGACCCACGACCCATCCCCCGCCCCCGCCCCTTCGACCCGACCCAAGGCGCGGCCGCCCGGTGTGGGACCACCGACCACTCCAAGGGCTTCACCTCCTGAACGTGTCGTCCGCATCGTGACCCACGCACTGTGACCTACTGTGACCCAACAGGTCTGAGAAGGGTCATCCAATTCCTTCCAAGATCCTCCACAAGGCCCGCTTTGGGGAGGCTTTCCCCCTCCCCACATCTTCCCAAACACACCTCCGCCCTTGGGTGCGTGGGTGGAAACGAGCAAGCAAGGGGTCATCTTCTCATCTGTGAGACGGCTGCTGTAGTTGCCACAGTACGATCGATGTAGAGTTGTGAGCCCTTGGATGTAGTTGGCATATCTTGGCATATGTCCCATATGATGGCATTGTTGATCTTGTTCTTGCGACTGGCAGCCACTTTAGTGACACACCTTGCGCTTCCATTGACCTCTTTGTGAGTCCACCTTGTACTCCAATTCTTCTGATGCCACTCGTCCACCGAAGCGAAACGCCTGAACCGGTTCCGTTGTGGGCCCAGTGTAGCTAGCAGTGCCGGCCAAGATCGATACAACAGTTATGTTCCCTCAGCCTTATCTGTTTGAGGGACGCTTTCCCTTCCAGCCTTGGTGTAGGGCGAATAGCCATCATCACCAAACCTCGCCGGGACCCAACTTGGGAAATCATCCGCTCTGGTCAACCTGGTCCGGATTTGAACTGCCGGATGATGTGGATAAGTCAGAAGTGGGTCTAAAATGGGCTCAAGACTTTGTGGAAAGACGCGAAGTCTTGTTCTGTCGCAGTCCTCGTCATCACACCTGGTCACCTAGCTATGCACCTGCTGAAAGCACCACAGTGATGGGAAGGGAAGCGGGGATTGGTGCCTGCCAGCAGCTGGGACATGTGATCGGTCAGCAGCAAGCACACTGAAGAAGAAACGTGCCTGGTCTGCCCTGGTCTGCCCTGGCCGCTCCCCCAGTGCGGCCACGACACTTCTCTTTGCACTGCTCCTCTGTGAGGCCACACATGCCATACTCCAAAGGTGTGAAGACCTTGAGAGAGACGACAAGGCCTGCTTTCATTGTGAGGGGAGCAGGGGGGCAAAAACATTTTGGACGCCCAAGGAGGCTGCCAACTCTTGGACGAAACATGCCACGAGCAAACTACTTCTCGCAAAACAAGAGCTTGCAGCAGTCGGCAAGCTGTTTGGCCTTCATCTCTTTCCATAAGACCACTCTAAAATGAACCGGCTCCGAACCTGCCAAGGGCCCGCCGACCCAAACCCGCCCCAACCACCTGGCCAACATCGCTCCACGCCGCGCGGTCCCAGTCCGAGCGACGGTGGTGGCGATGAGGCGGTAGTTCATGGCCTCCGGGTCGTGTCGCAGGTCGCGGGTCGTCGGGAGGTCCGTGGTGTGGAGAGGTGGTTGATCGGTGTCGGTTTCCGGAACGGAGGCCGGAGGTCCGTGTCCTTGGGCACTCAGCTGCCGATCTGAAAAAGAAGAAGACACCACTTCCCAAACCTCTGGCCCACCCCATGCCCACCACCCAAACACCGAACTCCACCACCCCCTGCCCCGCGCGCCGGAGCCGCTCCTGCAAGTCGCCCTTGAAGACCCGCGTCGCCACCTTCTTCCCCGCGACCTGCCGCGGAGCGACCGTCGCGGAGCGGCCGCGCGGAGCGGCGCGTGGTCCGAGCTCCGGCCTTGGCCACGGGGGTGAGCTCCGGGCGATTCTCCACCAGGTCGCCGATGGCGAAGATGTTGGGCACCTGGCCAAGTGCTGGAGTGTTGGAGCTAGAGCCCGGGAAGGCTCGGTATAGCCTGGCTTTGGTGGTTGGAGAAGGCATCTGCAGGATTTGGCGGGGACATGGTGCTTCTTGACCAAATGGAGGTCTCAAACACTCATTCGCTGGTGTCACTTGTAACAACGACACATACAGGAGATATAGGAATCATAGCTGGTGCAATCAAAACGGTGTCAAATACTGTCAAATCAGTGTCCTCATCTTCCCAGTCATTCTAGGCCATCCACGTCTCCTATCGACCGCCACAGGTCCACCAGGTCCACCAACAAAGCGCCACCAAGAGGCATTGGTCTGCTCCGCAGGTGCGGGGACCTTGCCGTTCTCCGGGTTGAACCACACCTTGGCACGGCCAACCCACCTGGAGCCGCTCTTCAGGAACGGTGCAAGTGAAGCGGCACCCCAACACACGACCATTCCAAGAATCCTCCAACGGTCGCACCGAAAAAAAAAAAGACCCCCTTCTGCACCAACAAATACGTTTGCACCCATCCTCCCAATTCATCCAGCCAAACCGTTGCCAACCGTCGAACCGGAACAACGATGTATACCTCCACCGAGCGGCGCCGGCCTCGGCGAGGCCCAGCTTCTGGGCCTCGCCGGTGCGGCCGATGGCCAGCAAGACGGTGTCGAACTCTTCGCTCTTCTCCTCGCAGCACTCGCTCGGAGAAGGGGAGCGGTTTGGCAGCTACACCTCGATCGACTCCCCTTCGAACCTCTAGCAGGTGTGTGTGTGTGTAACCCTTGGAGTCATAGGGCTTCTTTTGAAGTTTGCTGGATGGTACTCACAAATCTTGAAGTGTACCATGTTGTTGCAGTTGAACGGAATGATACGCACTAATCTTGAAGTGTACCATGTTGTTGCAGTTGAAAGGAATGAAACGCACAAACCTTGTTGTTGCAGTTGAAAGGAATGAAACGCACAAATCTTGCAGTATACCACGTTGTTGTAGTTGAAAGGAATGATACGCACAAATCTTGATGTTTTTTCGGTTTTGTTTTGTGTTTTTCGCTGTCTTGTGTCTTTGGGCCCTCTAACCTATTGCGCAGGCCTCTAACTTTGTCACTATGGCCTCTTTCTATTTGCGGTTCCTTTCTAGTAGTTGGCTTGCCGGCTGCCCTTAGGGCCGGCGCGTCCACTCTGCTTGGCTGGATGCTTTCCTATCCAGTCAGCAGAGTTGGGGTGGGCATAGCTGCTGCTTGCTGCTTGCTGCCGCTTGCTGTTGCTTGGGCTCCAAACTTAGGTGCTGACCTCCAACTTCTAGCGTCGGCCTCTACT